TAATATATGAATATATATATATGTATGCCCTCGCATCTTGAGTTTAAACAAATCATGAGAGTTGCAGGATACAAGGGGGCATCCCCCTCCCCCCTCCTTGAATTTTCTCTTTGAATGCTTTAATTTGCAAAATTATGGTTGAGACTTTTTTTAAAAACATCTTTTAACTAGATTCTAGATCCAGCACTTTGATGAAAATGCATTAATATGTTTTGTGTGATAGACCAACTTCCCAAAGCTGTGGAAGCAAAAGTTGTGTGAAATTTTGTCGAAGCGAGTGCCGTTTTTGAGACATATGGGCTCTAGTTTTGTTTCCAACTCCAACACGTGAGGTAAGTGAAGCCTTCTTTCTCATTGTATTGACACTTTATGGTTTCGTACAAAAGTATGTTTATAGACTCAAAATTTTTATTTTAGATTTTCTTCCCCAAAAAAGTTGTTTTTGAAACATTGTTGACATCATATGTTGCGTCACAAAAAAAACAATCCAAGATCTAAAGATTGTAAAAACCGCTGATTTTTATTTTAGTTTTTACCTAAATCTTTTATTTCATGTGTATTTTATACTGAAATAGCATGATGCAAAATTTGATCAGGTTTAGGGATGATTTATTCTGAGATCTGGACTTCGTGTCTCCATTTTTCAGCCCGGGCTGCTACACGTCATTGGAAAATTCCGTCGCTGCATGATAGCTACATCTAGTAGTGGTGGGCGGATTTAGCAGCCTATTTGGTTTTGGGATTTGCTAGTACATGATGTACTTTGTATGAGAGAAAGACTACCCCCAAAACCTGGAACCCCAAATCCTAAATGGTTGGAAAGTGTGATACAAAACTAAGTTTTGAAAAAATGCGTTGGCTTAATTTCTACACTGAAATAACTCAATTACGACAAAACGTTTTATTCAGTAACTTGTCATTCCAAAATATGTCGATTCGATCAACTAAAAACTAATCACCCAGACTTGTTTGATCCCCACCTTTGACAATGGAATAAGCCGAAATCAGTTAAGACGCAGCGACGAATCCTACGTATTACCTAAGCAGGGGATCACTCTAGACTCACTCCTACTCACTTCACTTGTCTGGTAACTGACTAGGATTTGCTGTGTGCACCAAGTAATACTTCCTGCCGGAGCAGTTATTTCCCACTTTCCTACTACGAGCGTCCGAAAGCAAATCCAAAATCTACGGCTGAGGCGGTTGTGCTAACTGGCCTGTGTAGGTTATGAGGTGGGAGGAGAGGGGCGGATGGGGATGTATGGGCGTTTTATCGCACGACTGTTACATCATGATCTTTGGTGACGATTGACCGGCAATGGTGGCATGGCAAAAAAGAGCGTGGTACTTAATTGGATGAACAAAGGGTGTTTAAAAAGTTTGAAAGCAGTTGTCTCGACTACATGTTTTGTCTCAATAGTGCCAGTGTCTCCTACTGTTTGTTTATTCCTCTTGTCCTCTTGGACGAGATCATTTTTTTATTTTTGTTAAACAAAAACTCATGTTTAGGAGTCTTTTTAATTTTTTTTATCTTGCTTTTAATCTTTGATTAAACCATTACAAAAAACAAAATCATATTAACGCTGATTCCACAACAACAGTTTACATCCCCCCCC